CAGAGTAATCTCAGCGACATTTGTTGCGGACCGCCTTTGTTTGTCCTCTCTTATTTTTTCGTCGAACGTAACGCGTTTACGTTATCGTTTTACGGTATTTGATTAAAGAATATATTTAAATATATATATGTATATATATATATATGTATTATAGAGCTCTATATATATATAAAATGTATTCAGTCTGAAATATGTAAAGTGATCGTACGCGATCTAAAAGAATTAGAAAAAGTTTTTTTTTCTTTTTGCTTCTTCGAGATAACTTACAATCATTGGTGGCGACTTATCATCATAGATACAACAGCACCGGTGGCACGCAGAACAGCGACGGCATTATTGTGATCCGATTTGGTGAAGTCGATACCGTCTACCTCCAGGATCTTATCACCCGGCCGAAGAGTACCCTGAGCTGGCCCGTCTGGATTCACCTTTGTCACGATTATTCCCTGCAATAAAAGAAGCATTATTTTCACACATTTTTTAATGTCTAAACAAAATTTCGTGTAAATATAAGTAATTCGTATGTTCTACATACGGTTTCTGCACCCGTTACTCCACCTGCTATACTGAAGCCAAGACCTGGATTTTTTTTTACTTGAACAGGCAACTGTGGAAAAATGAATTCAAATTAGAGAAGTCATAACGTATTTACAACTATGATAAAATTACTTTTATAACTGCAAAAAAATTTATAAGTTAAAAGAATTATTATTTTTTTAACAGATATATAATTTATTAAAATTAATTTTTAATCTTCTTTAGTTTTTGATATAAATCTTTTTAATTCTTATCTTTTTACTTGTAATTTTAAAATTTTTATATTTCTTCAAAAATTAATTATAAAGATGATATTTTGCACGGAACAAGCATATTCCTATGTATATTCACAAACAAAATACCTACCACATTCGCGTTTTTATGAGGGCCGAACATCCACTTGAACTTCGGTTTCTTTTCAGAGGTCAGTGGTTCGTTCGAAGGAGAACTCGCATGTTCCTTTGAGCTTTCGGCGTTGACATTTGTGTCGCCTTGAGATGTCCCATTCGTATTGTGGTTTGACGTATTCCGACCCGAACTGCTTTCGACAGCAGTAGCAGGAGGCGTAACTCCGCTCGACGTGTCGACAACGATCCTGTTTGTTTGAATGGAAGCGGTGACACTTGTCCGGCTGAGATTTGTCGGTACTTCAGTCGGAGTGTTGGCATTGTCACACGGATTATTACACGAAGTGTTCCCGTTCATCAGCTTCCTTGATCGTTCGAATGGCTTCAACGGTGCCGATAACGGACTGCGGTATTTTTTCCCTGTAATCGGCGACGTGGGTATGCCGGAATATGCGTTCAACGTTCTACTCGCGTCATACTCTTCCACTGAAGAACTCTTGTTCGAACTCGCGTCATTACCCGAGTTCTCTGTGTGTTTCGCTTTGAGAACGGGAATTTTGCTCGGCCTGAGGGCACGATCACCTTGTTCGGGATCGACACTGCAATCCGGAATCGGCGTGCAGCTCTGTTCTGAGCTGGTCTGATCGAGAGAACTCGTTCGCCCGTTGTCTGTTGGCTTAACGCTTGAATTAGCGAAGTTTGCCCGATCGCCCGACGACACGGATGCACATTCTTCAGCTTTCGCCGAGTCCGCTGAACTCATCTCGAGGTTCTTCTGTTTCGTTACATCTGGTAACGGCCCGATCGAATTTAAAGGCGTGTTGAAAGATAACGAAGGTAAAGCCAGATGTGCATCCGCTTCGATCGCTGAAAAGAGATGGAGATTCGGGTTAAATTTTATTATTTCTTTTATTTTATATTTTATTATTTTCTCGTTAAACTTTAGTTACCCAGAAACAGAAAACGTATACAATTTGATGACAAAAATACGAGAAAAAATATTTTTGCAAAATGATTCTATTGTGTAATATCATCTGCGTGAAATTGTTACTCTGTAAAAAACAGATTCCAATGCTTCTTTTTCTTCTAGTTAATATTATCATCTTCTTCAAGCATACTTTTGATTCATTGATTTTAGTAAATAATAGTAAATAATACAATTACTGAATAATAGTTAATAAACGCAACGTACGATTATTGAATTGCTGGAAAAGGGCGGCTTTCTTGGAAAACGCCGCCGCGATGTGATATGGTGGCGGGGCTGGCGGTACATCGCAGGATTTCGGTGCGATCGCTATCCGCGTTTGCTTGCCGTCTGTCGCGTCAACGGACATTGCTGTCCTGTACGGCTCGATGAACTTCTCGGATTCCACTATCTTCGCCGTGTTCGCCTTGGAGTACTCGTCCGGTTTCCAAGTGGAGTTAACATAATCGGCCACCGTCGGCGTTTTCGTGACGTAATCAGATGTAGGATTGCGAATGTACTTGGCTTCTCGGATATCAGGGCTCTTCTCCTTCGCCAGCACGGTCTTGTTTGCCTCGTCGGAAGACTCCTCGGACACTGAATGCTCCGCCGCCCCGGGATCAGTCGGTCTATTGCTCTTGTTATAGTTCTTCATTGTGTGACGATCGATAGAGGTTGAAGACAAAGGCGTAGTCTGTAAGAAAAAAAAATAAATTCAATAATTGATGCAAGAAATGATGTGAGAAATGTATAAATCAAATAACAATAATATTCTTGTCTTAATTTAATAAAAATTTACGTTGTATAATAACAATCTGAAGTTTAAAATTTCAATTTATTTCCACAATATATAATCACTATAATCATTACATTATATAAATATCAGATTTATTTATAAGTAAATGATTTTACTATTTGGAGGAAAAAGAATGAGAAATAAAATGAGCGATAAGCACTTACTCTTTGATCATGAATGGATTGATGATGCAGATTACGAGCGTGCCTAGCAAGATTGCGTAGCTCCTTGGGATAGGGAGTCGGTGCTCGATGAAGTTGCCTGGGGATTTCGGAATCTACCTCAGCAGCAAAACATATTTTCTTGCCGGTTCCGATGATCGAACTCGAAATCGGTCCTGTGGTTTGCACTATTTCTATAATTGAAATTGAAAATATCATTACATGCAACTAACAATTAATATAAAAAGAAATATGTTAGTAATTTACTGGCAAATGCATGCGATGACTTTCACTTCCATGCCATTATTATCTTATCTTAATATCTTACCATTTCATTCCTCATCTTCCTGTCCTTCTTCTACTAGCGGCATGAATAAAGATTGCATTTTATTGTTAATTGAAGCTATAGTGTAAACAATAAGTAGTGGTGTAAAGTGGAATAAAAAGCGAGAAACCGATTTTTTGTTAGTTCAGATACAGATATAATAAACAAGACCACATAAAGAAAAAGAATCTCAATTGTGTTTCTACAGAAATCGCTGGAAATCATCAAATTAATTCTTGATAAGTGAGATTTGTAAAGTTATTAATTAAAACTAAAACATATCAAAAACGATAAAATAACACTCAGCACGGTAGACACTCACGCTCCAAGTCCTGCCGCGGTTTCTGAGGCAGCATAAAACAGCTTAACACCATCATGTCCTCCTCGCAATTGAACTCCTGTTGCAGCGGTACCAATGGCTGGCTCTGATTGTCACTTAACCACAACGCTTTTAAATTACTGAGATTCAACATAGAGACCGGAAGGAACTTAATGCAATTGTTAACAAGATTTAGCACTCGTAACGAAGACAGGTGGCCCAGCTCGGGCGGTACACGTGTCAGATTGTTCGATCGCAGGGAGAGCAAGGACAATGCCGTGCAACTACCGATCTCGGCCGGCAGCGCGCGCAGATAATTATTGTCCGCGTTGAGACAGTGTAGCTTGCGCAGCAAGCCGATCGAAGACGGCAAGTATTCGATAAAGTTTTTAGTGATTATAAGCTCCTCTAAACTCGACATCTGGCCAATGTCGTTCGGCAGTGCGTTCAATTGATTGTCGTCAATCTTGAGGGTGACGATTGTGCGTAGATAACACATTGTGTCGGGCAGCTCGTACATCTCGTTCGAGGACAGATTCATAATCGCGATGTCGCGCCAGCCGCGTATTTCCATCGGGAGGGCGTGTATCGCATTCAGCGTGCAATCAAAATGGTTCAAACGATACAGCTGCTCAACATTTGCTGGCACACGTCTGATGTCGTTGCCATCTATCCACAATTCCGTGAGATTGATGAGGTCTCCAACAACTTCAGGCTAGAAAAAAATGGTAATGTACACATGTACCTCGACAATATGGTAAGCTTGAAATTAAAATTCTATATAAATTTTATGTAAAACCTATGTAAAATTAATTAGATATCTAATTTTTTATCAAATTTTGATGCGATAAGAATAGCACTCTTACCAGTTCCGTGAAGTCATTGTTGCCGATATCGAGTCTCTGCAAATTCACTAAACGACTCATACTCTTAGGCAACGTCATCATGTTGTTTTCTCGCAGCTCGAGCGTCCTCAAGGCTGACAATCGTCCAAAGTTAGCCGGCAGATATTCTATATATGCATCGTTTATATAGAGTTCGCGCAAGCCGACGATATGCGTTATAGCATCTGGGAAACGCTCAAAGGGATTGACACTGATATCTATTGAGCGCAGACTCTTGCATTCCTTTATACTGTCTGGTAAATCCTTTATACCTGCAATAAAAAGATACTTGTTCAGCGTGAGTTGTTAGATACTAAAAAAAAAAATTAAATCAACAAAAGCATATCGCAAAATTCTAGAACATTTGACACTCATATCTCTTTTTATCTCAATTACTCTTTATCTTTCTTTGAACTAAAAATTCTTAGAACTAAAGATAAAAAAATGAGTTAAAATTAATTTATATTGATAGAAATAAAATATTATATTAATATTAAAAGATATCTAATAGTGCTTACTGTTTTTGCTGAGGTCTAAGTATTCCAGGTTGATCAATGATGCTATGGCGGGTGGTAATGTAGTAATTTCATTATCGCTAAGCGACAACACTCTCAATTCGTGGCACTGAAATAGCGGCCTAGGAAGATCTCTTATCTGAGAAAATATTTAAAAAATCAAAGATATTAAACGTCATCAAAAATACTTGTACTAAAAAAGTGACCAAAAGAACTCACTCTATTGGCGTCGAGATATAACTTTTCCAACGTTCTTTCGTAAATGAACACATCGGGTGGTACATCATAGAGATTACAGTGATTCAGCTGTAGCTCACAGATGTCTTCTTCCTGGGCTCTCAAACACGCGGCGCACTGCCACCAAGAGCTACCCATTTCATGTGTGTACGACTGAAAACAATGCAATGAACAAATATTAATTATAATTTGGCAAATTGTTTAATATGCAACCACAATAAATTATATTTAATCAATTTTTATAGAAATTCAAGCTGTTTTAGATAACATTTTTTTTAGTTCTATAAGTATTACATATCTCTTCAATCTACCTCTTTACATCTACCTTTTTAATCTCGCTGTATTTTTTTTATTGCTATTATCATTAAACAAGCTCTTTATAGTAAAATAATAATTTATTACATTAAAATAAAGTTAAATAAAGTTAAATCAAGTTGCTTATGATCAATAACAAGTTATGCTATATTTGCACGAATGTTTCATGACTCCGATAATAGCATAAGCAGGAAGCATCATTACCTGTGATCTCAGAAACGATCCGGCCGCGATCCACCATGGGACAGATCAGTCCGCTCGCGAGAACGTCGTCGTCGCCGCCGACGACGACGACGATCATCCGCGGAGGCGCCGAGCCGCCGCCGCGATCTCCGGTCGGCGTTCGCCGTATCACCGCGTCGCACCGCCGCGGCGCCGCGGGCTGCGGCCGTGGATCGTCGCGTTGCCCGCGGGAATCGGCATCGCCGGCGCGAACGGTGGACCGCTAGTCCGACCTGTGCGAACGAGCGAAACTGGGATGAGACTGTCGCGAACCGGACTGACGCAAACGAGACGCCGGCGCGAGGAACGTCAAGAGATGTCACGGCGGCACACGTCGGTGCTCTGTCGGTGCTCTGTCGTCGTCGTCGCCGCTGCCGTTGTCGTTGTCGTCGTCCCAGACCCAGACCCAGATTCCGTTCCCGTCCTCGTCCTCGTCACCGCCACCACCGTCGTCGTCAACGTCTTCGATCTTCTCACGCGCATATCTCACTCCCTCCTCATTGTACGGCGTACGGCGCGGTACAGCGCCGATCGCAGGGATCCGTGTCTCCCGATTCGCGGACGCCGATGAAACACCGATTTGTCGTACTTCTCTCTCACTCTCTTTCTTCCCCCTCTCTCTCCTACTCTCGCGAATCTGCGCCAAACTCCGAAAGTATCACAAGAGCAGTTCAGAACTGCGCGAAATACGCTCCAATAATAGATACCGAAATGAGCAGAAGAGGGGGGAAAGGAAGACAAATAAAAATAACTCGTGATGAAAGTTTCGAAACTCACGTATACTCTGTATATGTATTCTTACATGTATTCTTATATGCCTTTCCGAGCATATTAGCAATAGATGCTAAATTATAAGAGCACATTTCAAATCGTGCCTTTAGCCTCGATAGTGGAAAGGATAGTGGAAAGGATTTACATGCTGGAAATCGACCACCAATCGGATCGCTTTACTTTCTTTCTGCTTCATTGATTGGTCGAATTTCTATTTTTAAATGCCAATGGTTTAGTTTGCACAAATTGTTTAATATGAGCACTATTTTAATATAAAAAATTAAATTAAATTAGTTTAAATAAAAAATAAAATAATTAATTAAAATGATTATTATTTCAATTTAATCAAATTAGCTTAGTTCAAAACAAATTATGTATTGTAAATCGAGTCTTAAGATATTTTAAAGGCCTCTTTCACCAATCTTCGGTTAAGTTAACCGACGGTTAACCCGCAAAAGTGCCAACTGTAATTTAATGTTCAGAAAGTAGTGTGTGTTCTTTAACCTAATATTCTTTTTGTGTTAGGTATCTTGATAGATAGATGAAAGTAGGTAGGATTGTAAGTAATATCCGATAATTAATATAAATAAAAATTATTAAACAATCATTCGCTTAAATAAAAATTTTAACACTTATTTACAATAAACAATTTAGTTCTCAGTTATTGGCAATCGTGATGGTCGAGTTAGGGTTGGTTTATGGAGGCCATAATTTGTAACTTATGCCATAACTGTAAAAAATTGACGAATCATAGAGTGATTGGTCAATTTTTTACAGTTACGGCATAAGTTAACAGATTATGGCCTCCATAAACCATTAACTGTAGGTTAGCTTAACCAAAGATTGGTGAAAGAGGCCGTAAGCTTCGTCCTAGATATTTTCATGTTTCGTGTTTTTAATTTTTAATTATACTACGCGCGTCTGCACGAGGGAAACAACTGATTGGTCAAAATTTTAAGCCACGCCCTCAATGCCACTATTATGCGCAATGGCTCACTTTTCTTCTTACACCATGGTGCGAATCTTCCATGCTTTTACTTTTACAAGGTAAAGAACTTTTGGAGATTTGAGAGTTGCATTATTCTGTTAAACCAATCGATACGTAACAAAAAATTTGTTGCATGATAGATAAAACATTAGCCTAATACGCATGCGCAAGATTTGTCTTTCTATCTGAATTTTTATCGTCGCGGATTACTAATTGCGAATGAAAATCCAGAGAATTAATAAAAGGAGAAGAAAGATGAATGTTGGCTAATGTCATGGTAGCTGCGGATATTCATAGATTGACATGAGAGATTTTGCAAACCGAAAATACTTGAGAGCCGTACGGAAGTACCGTAAAGAACGACGAAATAAAGAGACAGTTCCATTTGAAGAGAGACAATTCCCAATTCAAATTTCTCAAAGTGAAACCAACATGAGTACCTCGGATCTACGAAGCTGGCCAATTTTCAGTTTGCTGAAACCGGATTTCGTTTCACAGATTCACATGGTCGTGGTATATGGTAATTCGCTTTCTCTTATCTTTTCTCATGCCGACTCCGACAATGTTGTTTACCTTATACATCTTGAAACAGGTAACTTGGGTAATGAGGCCTTAATTGTGACAAAGGACAAGATGGTATATGCCTTGGGTAATAATATAGCCGGTTGTTTGGGAACTGGAGATGCCCACAGTACGTTATATCCAAAGAAAGTAGAGACTCTATGTGGGAAAGATATAAAGACATTTGCGTATGGCAGTGGACCACATGTTCTGGCGCTTACAAAAGAAGGACAGGTATACTAAAATATTACTTATCAGGATGAATACTCTAATTCAGGATCAGTGAGTATTATGATATAGGGATGCTTATAAAAAGAAATAGAGAATTTTGTTCAAAAACAGCTTAAGAAAGATAGTTATATATGAAGATTTATTTTCTCTGCTGATCATTTCATCAATAATATTCATCAATAATAATTTCTAAGAACATTGGAACAATAAGATATATATTACAGAGATATAATACCATCTCTTTCTACATATGTTCTTTGTTGAAAACAGCTAAGCTGCTTTTCTTTTAGTTTACAATAGTTTATAAGATATAAGCTCTAAGTCTAATGTTTTAGTTAGGGATATCCTAAAAAGAAAAAATATTTTTTAAGTCTTAAATTTTATAGTCGGGATCTGATGAAACTTAACTTACTACTTCTGGATTGTAACTTAAAGCAGCTCAAGAAACATATTTTGTTAGAAATTATTTAGAGCTTAAAACTTATGATACTATATCTATTATAGATATCTTGCAGAGATAATCATTCTAGTATGGTATAAAGTTCATTGGAGCACTTTTCATTGGGGTCTTCATTATTTTGTCTCTTTGAAACATAAAAGTAAAAAAAAGAAATGTTACAAAAGAAGTCAGTAGAAAATTTTATGGAATGGGACTAAGAAAGAAAATTAGAGACAATTGATAATTATATTAAGAAAATAAAATAAAGATTAATTGAAACACAAATTGAAGGTGAAGTATAGATAATTGTCAAAAATGTCAAGTTAAAGACACTCTGGAATTATGCCTATGGAAAAATGGAAAAATAACTATTTAGATTCATTTCCTTTGGAATATACATAATTATCTCATAATTATCTCTTTTGTAAATTCAAAGTCAAACATGTTTGCACTGATCATCTTATAAAATAGCTGAAAGCAACAGATAATGCAATTATATTTTTTTACATAATTCATTTTGAGTGTATAAAAAGACATTTGAAGACTTTTCTTTTATCCTTCATTGTTATATCGATCCAGCAATTCTAAAGAATTATCGAAGATTTTATGAAACTAAGCGACATATTAAATTAACAATTGACATGAGTGAAATCAGAATCATCGGAATCAATAACAATATCTTTGAAAGGTATATTCCTGGGGTCACAACGGTTATTGCGAATTAGGGAATGGAACGTGTAATCAGGGTCTTACGCCCACTTTAGTAAATATGCCCAATGTGAGCGGCAGTATCTTCATGAAGCGCATTGTAGACATCGCGTGTGGCAGTCACCATTCTGTTGCTTTAACCGAAGAAGGCGAGGTAAATTCGAAGAGCAAAGATTAAAGTACGATAATGTCCTTCGCCGATACAAGACAATCGATTCGATTTAGGTGTACGCCTGGGGACAAAATAGTTGCGGACAAGTGGGCAGTAGCATTAGCACGAATCAGGGCGCACCTAGGCAGGTGAATTCCAACTTGGCTGGAAAGAAGGTTGTTAACATCTCTTGTGGTCAGACATCCACTATGGCGGTCATCGAAAACGGCGAAGTGTTCGGTTGGGGTTACAACGGTGTTGGTCAGCTAGGAATAGGCAATTACGTGAACCAGATGACACCGTGTCGGGTTGCTGCGCTGTTAGGCGTCGTGATAGGTAATTCTTGTCTCGATGAAGCGAGTTAAACGAGAACAACGAGGTAAAATGGAATTAATAAGCAGTCATATTGTTTCAGTCAAGGTGGTTTGCGGATACGCGCATACACTGGCACTCACAGACGAAGGAAAGCTTTATGTCTGGGGCGGGAATAGTTACGGCCAGTTGGGGATTGGCAACAAGACGAACGCCTGTAATCCAGTTATGGTAAACTCATATTTATTATCATCGTAGAGTAAACAGAAAATGAAAAAAAAAAGCGAAAGCTCTCATGATCAATAGTTGGGCCATCAGTTTAAGCACCAAATGGGAAGGGTATCCGACATTGCTGCTCTACATTACAACCATATAAGCATCGCTGTCGGCGAAGGAGGATGTGTCTACATGTGGGGTCACTGCCGCGGTCAGAGCATTACGACTCCGACCGCCACTCCGTTCTCGAACGTGCACGACGCGCTCGCGTGTTATGGCTCGCCTAGCGTCATGCATCAACCGCTGGTTCTGTATGTAAATGAAGATTCGAGCCTGTTGGAATGTCTGGGAACTGCATTTGATGATCCCGTATGTCTCGTTTTTTTTTTGCCTATTCCGTGTATTTCGTGTAAATGGAAATATAATGTGATGGCTGATAAGTAGATTTAATAGCTAGTATCTCTTTACCACTATATTATGCACATTGTTATTATATATTAACATATTCATATATAATATATATTTTTTATTAAGTTCTATTCTAAGCAAAATTACTAGATTTTAAAAACTTTTTTCGCACATGAGAAAAAGATATAATAAAGTCGATGATAAGTGATTAGTAACTTCGCAAGACTATGTAACGCATTTTGTCTCGATTTCAATTGATAATGCGACAAATATTTTATATATCAAGCTAATATAAGTATTTATCTTTAACGATTTTTTTTTTCTCTTCTCTGATAGTCGACGAGTGATCTTACGATACAAGTGGAGAATCAACCCATTCATGTGCATAAGGCTATTTTAAAGATCCGTTGTTCATATTTCAGAACCATGTTCCAACATAATTGGGCAGAAAACAATCAGAAGTAATAATATACAAAAGAGATTAGTGTTATATTAAAAATTTTTTAGTTTTCTTCATTTTGTTGATATCTTTTTCTTCCGACAGTGTCATCGAACATGATCAATTCTCCTATATCGTCTACAAAGCTTTCCTGAAATATTTATATACCGATGTGATTGATCTACCTGTGGAGAAGGCATTAGGTAAGTCGAATATGCAACGAATTGTTTCGATCTGTTTTGTGTTTGCACTTGATTGAAGCAATATTTTTCATAACAGAACTTTTGGATTTGGCTAACGCGTACTGTGAGAATAACCTGAAGAAGCATTGCATTCGAATGATAAAACAAGGAATTACCGTATCAAACGTTGCCTACTTATACAGCATCGCGATCGAGTATAACGCAGAGGTGACTGAATACTGTCATCGTTAACGCTTATTTCACTATGATATTTATTTATGCACATTACTAAATGTTAATGCGCCAATTTTTAGGAACTCGAAGAATTTTGCTTCAAATTTGCCTTGAATCATATGACGGCTGTGACGCAGACCGAAAATTTCGCTAAGCTGGATGAAAATACGGTAAAAACTTTTATAATTAATGCAGGCAAGGCCGGTGCTTTTAAGACGTAATTCGTCTGTTTGCCTCAAGGGCGACGTATCTCGACGGAAATGGATGGAAATCATCAGATCTATCTGTTACTGCACGAACATTCGCGACGCAATTCGTAGTTGCGTATTTTAACTACGTATTCTAAAGAGATACTACGACTTTTATCGAGATACTCTTTTCCTCAAGTTGCATTTCGCTATTAGCATTTCTTACAAGTGATAAATATACACGATTCCAGTCAGATCGTGATCTACTTTGAGAAATGCGATAATAATTCGCGCGAAAGATTCTTTCGTCGATCTCTAAGAAGGTGATCTTGTGATCTTTGTAAAAGTACCTGAGATTAATTTAGAATTTGCGTAAACAAAGAAAAGAAGAAAACAAGAGACAATGTGTTACTCGCTGAGTGAAATTTCTTTCGTTCGCGATGACGCATTGTCTACGTGAATGAATTAATAATTAATGTGTCAAGCTCACAATCGAATGATTCCGAAAATTTTATTCCGTTCCGTTTCGTTTTTTGTATTATTTCTGTGATATAGCATAGTTATTCAGTGCGTATCTGTCGCGATTTGCAGCCAAGCCGACTTCTCGCCGATTTTGTTTCATCAATTGCGTATATTTATATAAATACAGAATATGTACAATGAGTAATAATAATAATAAAATTTTCTAATACCGTCAATGTGTGTGTGTGTGTGTGTGTG